CCTAACCTAGAAAATTAGGTGCACAAAAAATTTGGGGGTGCATATAAAACAAAACACAATTAGAGATCTTACGGCTTCTCTTCTGAGCTTGAATCTGAAATGGGAGCTAACTTTTTTTTAGATTTTATAATTTTTTCTGACACTTGAGAATATCATGTATACTATTATACATTTGATATGTAAAAAAATACCTACAAAAATATCAGTGCACCCACAAAAAAATGGGTGCACAGCTCCAATTTTGGGTATACGTGCACACAGTATTTCGAGCCCTGCTACAGGTCTGTGAACTTGAACAGTAATTTGGTTGCATTTAACACATCAATCAATAACACCTACCTTTGCCATTCGCCATTTCTTGAAATTTAATTTTTATCACACTTGTCTTGACCTAATCGATCTATTAATGCATATATATGGTGGATTGTTAATCCATAAATTTCAAGGTTAATTAGTTGTTATTTAATTGATCTTGCCATTAGTATTACATGTGTTGTAGTAATAATAGAAAAGGAGAATGATATTCGTGGACAAAAAAAAAAATTGTGGTTGTCCATCTCTGCTGCAAATGAGTCTTCCCCCAGACATTTTATTACTACCCTGAGACAGTAATGGGTTTACAAGTCTGCTTATTGATTTTCATCGTCATGACAACACGGTTCATCAAATCAGCACATTACGGGGAAACCTTAACTGCTTGATTGTCCCACCAATCAAAAGCTGTTCTCCCCGCATCGCTGATTTTAAGTGGAGCTTGCAAAATTGTATTAGGTGTTTTGGGAGCCCTTGATGCTTTGAATTATGGATGGGAATGGGAGGATAATTTCATACCCTACTGAGGGCAAATTCAGGGCCTGTCATAGCCTATAGGGACCTCAGTGGTCAAGTGTTCAGTTGACAGGGCTCAAGCTTTTTATTTCAAGACAAAAACGTTGTTTTGGGCCGTGCTGGTTTAGAGGGAACTTGTATGTATTTGGTCCTCAGCAGCACAGCTTTGGAAAGGGAGTTGCCTGATATTGGGTTTTACTTGATTGACAGAGTTGTGACTCAGGATGCCTTGGGTGACAGGATGTGGTATGAGGTCGCCAGGAATGTGTATTGTGTAATGGTATGGTATGAAACATAAACCCTTTGGTGTAATACCTGAGTATATGATGTCATACAATCATGATACTAATGATACATTCTACAGCGTATTTCAATCAGGTATTTCACCATGGTCACAAATTATAGTTCCAATACATTCACAAAAACTTAGCAGAAGTCTAAAATCAATCTCTGATTTCTTGTTTGTTACTAGCAATATTCAAATTTGTCTAATGTTTTGGATGGTCCTATTTTGCATGTTCCAAACACTTCGTCATTATTCACAATCTTGTAATACATCCTAGACTCTTCTCTATATAATCTTTGTAGGCAGCGATTTAACTAAACAACTAACCATTGCCAGTATGTTGTCTTGTCTTGTGATTTAACACACTGGGACTAGTGGTAGCCTTATCTGCAGCATATCAATGACTTGGGAGAATCTGAAGTATTTACAGTTGGCAGGCCTTAACAAACTTGGTATGCTGAACAGTCAGGTTGAAAACAGGTAGACATGCACTTGTGTCAAGAGTGGAAGGCTTGGTGTTCACTGGAGCATGCAGATGTGCCTTTTGTGCTGTGACTAAATTTATGACGTTTAAACAAGCTAATAGTAATATGTGTTTTATAGTGTAATTATAATTCTAACCTTCTATTGTATTACTAGTGTCTCTTTATACAAAGCTGTTTTGACTGCAAACCTAAAACATTTGGCAGTATACTGTAATTCCTAGAAAAGTTGATGATATTATAGAAAGAAATACAAGCAGTTTCCCTGCACCCTCCCCCCCCCGCCATCAAGAATTAGACGTTTCTTGACAAATAGAAAAGAAACATTCTTATCACGTAGGGCCTAGGAAGAAAAGTTTTTTTTCCTGTTGCAGTCCTGAAAAAATTAGGGTTGGCAGGTTGTATCAATTAGAGTGAATGAGTGAGGTCGGGATTATCTTTTTTTTGTTTCAGTGTAGTACAATACAGTTTAACAAAGTACACTTATAGTTTCAATGTCATTGTTGGAAGACTGATTGTACAACGTTTCATCACTCAGGTGTCAGATCATGGAGCTAGAAAAGGTCAGTCTGCTCAAAAAATTGCAGGTGTCCATCCAAAAAAAGGCTAGGGTCAGCAGTTTTTTTAGGGTTGGTCATGAAACAGGAAACACAACATTTTTTTCGTAGCCCTAGGTATATTTTAAGGTCTGATGCCCTTTGCTGAGGGTATTTGGTCCCTTCCCTATCAGAGTATTATTAAACCATGACCAGTGGAAACTGAATGTTTCCCCTCCAAGGGAAAAGTAATCAGTGCACAGCCTATGAACAGGGTAAGGCCTACCCAGGCAATTGACCTCTGCTGAAGATAAGGTATTCCCAAGGGTAGGCACTGATGATGGACATACTGGCTTCTCCTGAATATGGGAATAGAGCAATCAGGGATAGCAGTAGAGTTCATGTGAGTGTATCAGTTAATACAATCTCGGGGCTTGCAATGCCACCTGCACAAATTTAACTCATGCAGGTTACTGGAAAAGTATCACATTGTCTTTTCGAATAGGGAAGTAAATCCAGCTCGCTGTGTATAAGGGAGCTTATGGTACTGTATTCTGTGTATTGGGGTTCT